TTTAAATGTAACTTAGGTTAACCTTATTGTATTATATTTTATTTATTTCTTTTTGTATTGTATAATTACGCAATAATAGTGTTTTAGTTTTTAAGCATAATATGTATCAATTTATAACTCTCTATCTTCGCCACAAGCCTAGCTTACAGAAGATAGATAATTCAAATGTACAATTAATGTAAAACTGTATATTATTTGAATTAAAAACAAAAAAAAAAAAAAAAAATGTAATGGGACCTCGAAATGTTTACCACAAATTTTGTCCTTTGAATAAATGTTTTTTGTTTCAAACATTTTTTTAAATTATACTAGATACCTATACATGATAATATATATTCGTTATAATAAATAGGTATGCATCGGTATATGTTGATTACTACCCTTTACTTGAGTATTTCTACTTTATAGTGTCAATTACATTTTTAATTACAAATTAGAATTATTATCATACAACTATTTTAATAGACAAATAATGTATAACACAATTTTTGAAAGTAATATATAGACTGTTATAAAATAACACACAGGTACTTAATTTAATTTGAATTAATCTAAAGGATTATATAAAATAATTTAATGTTATTTAATTACAATTTTGACAATTATAACTGAACGTGATACGTTTGTGATATGTCGTATGCTTGTAAAGGTAGCTATTATATATTAAATTGTACAATCACTTAACTTATAAATATAAATATCTGTACCTATATTTGATTTTAATTTAGAATTGAATTAATGAGAAATTTAATTTAAAATTACATTGAGAGTATATTGAACAAACATATTTTAAATTGCTAGTTTACTAAACGTTGCTTATTATTAGAATACAAAAAAATTGTTTGTGAAAAACCTCTAATTTGAATATTTTTTTCAACAGTAAATTGTTTGATAATAATTTTAATTAAGTACCTATAAGTCTATAACTATATCAAATAATTTAGTACAATTAATACTTTTGTATAATGCGTTATATATTATTATTAGGCATGCTTATGAGTATAATTACATATAATATTAAGCAATCAATTATTATATTTTTTGAAGATATTCTTATATATTGACATAAGTAAAAATAAAAATAAACATAAAATAACTCAAAATGTCAATAAAGTTGTTTAAAAATATTTTTTATATCAAAACATAAAACCGATAGGTAGGTAAATGTAATGCAATTAATTCATATTAACTATAATGAGTCTATTCTGCTATTAGAACCTATTTTACAGGAGGTATACAAGTAATTTATGTACAGAGTGATTTATGTTATTATGTGTCAAGGATTAAGGATAATATTATGTAGTACTTGCTATTAATTTTATAAAAAGGTAGCTATTATACGAACTAACATAATAATGGTTCTTATCAAATAAAACAAAATTGTTTAATACCGTTGTAATGTTATATTTGTGTATAATATAATATTTTATTTATTTACGATAAGCAATTTAAATTTTTTCTTTTATTCAGTATTTTAATTTTTTGAACTTAAATAATAAAAAATAACAAAGTAGCCTGGTGGGATATAGAAATTGCAAGACACTTATCATAAGTATAGCTTAACTCTTTTCAGCGCAGATACCTATTATATCGTAGTCATATTTTTATAAAATTTACCCAATAATGTAATATAATTATTATAAGTTTGAATGCAAAATATGTAATGATAAACTATCTCAATTTAACAAATCGGTATGAACGAATCCTCGTGATTAACTATACTTAGTACCTAATCTATGCTATATAGGAGTATATACCTACCTTAAAATTCATGTTTACATATTTTAAAGTTATATAGATAGGTACTCATAAAATAAATAAATGATAAAAACAGATAATTTAAAGTTTTAAAATTATCATTTCTGAATTAAAAATAAAACATAGTATATGAATATGTTATATGAAAGATAATCAAACAACTTTCAGTCAAGTGTCACTAATGGGTGGCTTGTTATTCCAAATTTCAATGCATTTTTGTTCTGTCATTAGATACACTAATTGTGCTAAATAGTACAGATTGTGCATATCTTAATTAAATATAAAATAATATAGAAAAATATAATCACAATATGTACTCGTATGCATTAAATGTCGTCATATTTTTATACGGTTGTTGGCATAGGTGTAGTTTTCGCCTACACTTTGGGAAATTGATAACGAATCAAACAGTTATAAGTGTCTACCAATAATACACTATATACGGTTTAAATGTCCATTCAATAGATTAGGTAACATGAAAGTAGTTTGAAAACCAACTGCTAATAAAAACAATACTAGACAATACCACAAAACTAACTAAATTAACTCACCATCTAATACAAAAAAAATGTATTTATTTATAGATATCCCTATCATAATTAAATATTACTATACAAAAAATCAAAAGAGTATTTGTGTTATTTTCAATTACATATCATTATTTAATGTTCATTATTATATATGGATACATTAAATATACATGTAAATATTTAATAATTTTATAGTTAGTTAAATACATAAGTAGTTATACTATTAGTAAAAAAATAATATTGTTGATACATTACATAAGCATGATTGTTAAAACGTTCAATTGATTAAAGCTACTAATTATTACCACAGCAAAAGAACTACTATAACTATAACTGCAACACTGTACCTATATATAGATCAGCAGTTCTCAACCATAGGGTCGTTATCCAATTTTGCAGAGTCACAAATAATTTGGAATAGGTCCCTAAAAAAATTACTCATGAAAAATATTATAAAATATGAGTGAAAATAAATAAATAAATAACAGTAACAGTTTCTTTTATTTATGGTAATTGAAAAAAATAAGGGGTCGGAGGGGCGGGTCGGTATCCCCACATTGAAAATTATATTACAATAGACCCATATACAGGGTCGTCAACACACAAAGGTTGAGAACCACTGATCTAGAATATAGATATCTAAGTCAAACAAATTAACTACACTACTAAAAGTATACGACTTGCAAGTTACAACTACCTTCTCTTATAGATTAAATATATATATATAGCACAAAATATTTTTTAGATTCTGAGCGGAGCGATGAATGTATTGATTTTACCATGATGTGTGTGTGTTTTTTTTTTTTTTTTTGTCTGTCATCACGTTTTGGGGCAGTAAAAATGCTTCGATTTTTGACTTCAGTACCTCGTTCGATCAGAAAATGAATCTAGTTGGTACTTTGGGGGGTCAAAATTTTTAATACTTTTCT